TATTATATATATATATATATATATATATATATATATTTATATCTCTCTCTCTCCCTCTCTCTCTATCTATCTATCTCTATCTATCTATTCATCTATCTATCTATCATCTATCTATCTAGTCACCAGGGCTATCGTGTAAGCCAGTACTACTCCCACCGCGAGTGACCGCGATGGGAGTAGTAATGGTTTCATTTGTAAAGTATATCGCTTTTTTTTTTCTCTCTCTCTTCTCTCTCTCTCTCTCTCTCTCTCTCTCTCTCTCTCTCTCTCTCTCTCTCTCTCTCTCTCTCTCTCTCTCTCTCTCTCTCTCTCTCTCTCCTCTCTCTCTCTCTCTCTCTCTCTCTCTCTCTCTCTCTCTCTCTCTCTCTCTCTCTCTCTCTCTCTCTCTCTCTCTCTCTCTCTCTCTCTCTCTCTCTCTCTCTCTCTCTCTCTCTTCTCTCTCTCTCTCTCTCTCTCTCTCTCTCTCTCTCTCTCTCTCTCTCTCTCTCTCTCTCTCTCTCTCTCTCTCTCTCTCTCTCTCTCTCTCTCTCTCTCTCTCTCTCTCCTCTCCATCTCTCTCTCGCTCTCTTTACTGAGGCATTTGAACGCAAAATGTTGTAATATTTTTGACATTTTTTAAGTGCATAATACTGTTTTTTGTTGTCTTTTGTTGTCTTTTCTTGTTTTTTTTTTTATTGAGCTTTTTGGAAAGCACAATATCGCTGTTTGTTTTTTCTCTCGCTGTTTCGTCTTTCTTTTTACTGTACTCCTTGAGAAAGGCGTACAGATTATTTTCTTCCGTTTTTATCTCTCTTCTCTCTTTCTCTTTCTCTCTCTCTCTCTCTCTCTCTCTCTCTCTTCTCTCTCTCTCTCTTCTCTCTCTCTATCTATCTATCTCTCTTCTCTCTATATCTATCTATCTATCTATCTATCTATCTATCTATCTATCTATCTATCTATCTATCTATATATTATATATATATATATATATATATATATATATATATATATATATATATATATATACTATATATATATATATATATATATATATATATATATATATATATATATAATATATATATATATATATATATATATATATATATATATATATATATATATATATATATATATAATATATATATATATATATATATATATATATATATATATATGTATATATACATATATATATATATATATATATATATATATATATATATATATATATATATATATATGTATAATATATATATATATATATATATATATATATATATATTATATATATATGTATACATACATACATACATATATAAATATATATATATTATATATATATATATATATATATATATATATATATATATATATCATACACCTTTCCCTCTATTCCCTCTTCCTTTCTTCACAACAATAGATGCATAACCTTCCTAAATTGGAAATGTCATTCTTGAACTCCTTACATAGTTTCCTCATGAGGGTCTAACTTGCAGAGCTTCATCCAGAGAGAGATAGTAAAGTTTTCCCTTTTCATGGTTTACGTTTTCTTTAATATCCGCAAAGAATTAACCACATTTTCTATTCATACCGCAAAAGATGACGCTATCCGTAATGAGCCCATCCGTGAAGAAGTGAAATGAGCATAATTCCAATTCTGTAAAGTAAAGTTGTAGGCTTTTTTTTATTTCTTTACTTATCTAATTTTCTTTTCTCTGCGCTTTCCGTTTTCTTTTTCATCAATCCGTCTAATCAAGGTATATCCATCTTCTTTTGCCTTTCAGTTATTTCCCATTTCTCAAATAACTCTAAGATAAACACCAAAGCATCGTGTTTCGATCCTGAGGAAGAACATCCAGAGAAATGCATCGAAAATCCGAGGTCAAGATCGAAGAAAATGGGATCCCTGACTTGCAAAATTTTCCTTGTATTTTTCTTTCTTTCTTTCGTTCTTTCTTTCTTCATTTATCTATTAACCGTCTTATCTATACCTCCTGATATTTCTTTCTTTCGTTCTTTCTTACTTTCTTTCTTTCTTCATTAACCGTCTTATCTATACCTCTCGATATTTCTTGTCTTACTTCATCTGTGTATATTCATTTGACACGAAGAGGAAAGGAAAAAAATTGATAAAGGAGTGCAAAATATGAATAGAGGTTTTTCATACAAAGTTATTATTTGTTGCCTTATCGTCCATACAAAGGCCTAGTTTAAATATTTTAGTGTTTGCTCAATTGTGTTTTATTTTCCTTGGTGCTCTGAATGTGAAATTATGCACCTCGTACCATTTCACGAATAAAGATTTGCACTTGAATTTCAAAATCCGATATGAAGCCATGTATTTGTGCTTTCGTTTTTATATCGTCGTAACAAAACCCAAGGAATCAAATCACTGATAACAGAAAGAAAAGTGACGATGAACTAAATACCAGGATAGAAAAAGACCATGACATTTTTTTTTTTTTTTTTTTTTTTTTTTTTTTTTTTTACTCCATTGGTAAAACCAACAGTATTACAG